GTCCCTGTCGCGGTCCTTGTCCCCGCCCCGCGCTGCTGGCCCGGCGGCCCCGGCTGCAGTCGCGAGGTGCAACCGGGCCGCTGAGGCCCGGGCGGCCGAAGCTGGTGCCACGGTAACCCGGGAGCTGCGATCGCGGGCTCGGGGGGCCGGGAGGGGTGCGGAGCCGGGCAGGTGCAGCCCCACCCGCCCGGCTGCGAGGGCTAAAAATACTGCCCGGAGACTGCGGAGCGGAATCCGATCGCGCAAAGTAGGGCAGGGCGCAGAGCCGGCGACAGAGCGGCCCGCAGGCCTCGCCCCGGCTCCAGGACCCGAGCGCTGCCGGCCTGGCGCAAAGTTTTGCACTGTAGGAATCAGTGCTCATGGAAAGAATGTAAGACTGGCTATGTGTCGCCAACGGAGCTCGGTTTTTCTTTTTCCGCTACAGGGGACTGAACCCAAGACCTCGCATGCTAGGTGAGCGCGCTACCCCTGAGGTGCACTCAGCCTTCTTTTTCGTTTTTTCCCTTTCTTTTATCCTTCCTTTCCTTTCTTTTGTCTCTTCCTTTCTTCCTCCCTCTCTCCCTTTTCCTGCCTTCCTTTTTAGAAATGTATTCTGTGTTCTTATCGAGACAGAATCTGTGCCAGGCAGTTTCTACTGAGACTGCTCCCAGAGGACCGGGGAAAGAGAATATCAAGCCTCTTTGGCCTCTGGCTGTACCTTTATTTTATTTTGGAGTACTGAGGATTGAACCGAGGGCTGTTGCACTGAGCTGTGTCTCCAGCCCCACCCCCCTTGAGACATAAGCCTTTAAGATACTCAGGCTGGCCTTGAACTTGTGATTCTCATGCCTCAGCCTCTCAGAGTGCTGGGATTATAGTCATGAACCACCATGCCTAGTTATGGCTCTACCTTTAAATCAGACAAAATAGAGGCCAGTGTATTCATCAGAAAGAGATGCACATGGCCAAAGAGTCTGGCCAGGCACCAAGAGCCAGACCTGAGGGGAAGATGGTTATTCCCAGGAGGTTGGGACCCTCACCCTGGTCCCTGAACTATTTTATTAGTTTAGTTTAGCCAAGGGAAGGGGTGACAGCACCTCGTGGCACAGCTGCTCCCTGGGTCCAGGCAGGGCCAGACCCAGGTGTGCTATTAATTGTCTTTTTGGATTCTTAATGAAGAGAAGGAAATCATGGTTGAGTTGGGACCCACAGCATGTGTGTGTGTATGTGTGTGTGTGTGTGTGTGTGTGTGTGTGTGCGCTGCTTAGCTTGCTTTTGCTGCAGCCAGAAATAGGTATTCCTTGGGAACCCCTGGGGAGCTTACTGGGGTATGTGGTAGAAGGACCACCAAAAGGGCTTTTGCATGCCAAAGCTACAGATGGCGTCTCCTCTGCCAGGTGCACTTGGAGGCCAGAATGAAGCTGAAGAAGCAGGTGACGGTGTGCGGGGCTGCCATCTTCTGTGTGGCTGTCTTTTCGCTTTACCTCATGCTGGACCGGGTGCAGCATGACCCTGCCCGGCATCAGAACAGTGGGAACTTCCCCCGGGTGAGTCATGCCTGGCTGTTGATCTCTGTGTTTACAAGTCACCTGGGCTTGGGTTGTCACCTAGATGGAGAGTCATGTCAGCCCAGGCAGGTGTTTGTCCCTTTCTTCTCCCTCCCTCCCTTCTGTGGTGCCAGGGATCAAACCCAGGGCCTTGTCCATTCTAAATGCCAAACATATGTTCTACCACTGAGCTTCATCCCCAGCCCAAGTAGAAAGCAAAAAAAACAGGCAAAAGGACGAAGAAATGGCAGCTGCTTTGTCCTCCAGAGTTCTCAGCAGACATTGCTAATGGATTGCAGCATTTTCTCCCATTAAGCCCTGATGTGATGGATCCTTCTGGGCACTGTGCTTCAGATTGGCGGCACCAATCACTGCGCGTGAGGTGAAATCTTTGCCATCTGTGAGCTAGGGAATTCAGGGGCTTCCAGGTGAATCAGGCCTCAGTAGTGATGTGCACAGGACCTATCATCCCTGGAGGCTTTGTTCTGGCTTCTGCCGAGGGAGAAGGCTCACAGACAGGCCTCAGGTGTTCCTTAGGCAAACACTGTGGCTGGGGCCTAAAGAGCGTTCTGGTTTTCTTGGCAGAGCCAAATTTCTGTGCTACAGAACCGCATCGAGCAGCTGGAACAGCTACTGGAAGAGAACCATGAGATCATCAGTCACATCAAGGACTCAGTGCTGGAGCTGACGGCCAATGTGGAGGGCCCACCCGCCCTGCTGCCCTACCACACGGCCAATGGCTCCTGGGTGGTGGCCCCAGAGCCCCGGCCCAGCTTCTTCTCCGTGTCGCCCCAAGACTGCCAGTTTGCTTTGGGGGGCCGGGGCCAGAAGCCAGAGCTGCAGGTAAGAGAAGGTGCTGGCAGCAACCTACAGTGGGTACAGATGGGGCACTGAACTGCCCTCCTGTCCACAGATGCTGACAGTGTCGGAGGAGTTGCCCTTCGACAATGTGGATGGCGGTGTGTGGAGACAGGGCTTTGACATCTCCTACAGCCCGCACGACTGGGATGCTGAGGACCTGCAGGTGTTCGTGGTGCCACACTCCCACAATGACCCAGGTGAGCCTGCGGTGTGGGCACCGGGAGGTGGGGGGAGGATGGGCAGCTGGAGGAGGAGGAGGTGTCCTCAGGGGCCCCTGTGTCGGCCCCCAGGTTGGATCAAGACCTTCGACAAGTACTACACAGAGCAGACCCAGCACATTCTCAACAGCATGGTGTCCAAGCTGCAGGAGGACTCCCGCTGGCGCTTCCTCTGGGCAGAAGTCTCCTTCTTCGCCAAGTGGTGGGACAACATCAATGCCCAAAAGAGGGCAGTAGTCCGAAGGCCAGTGGCAGGGGGGGAAGGCCTGGGGGCTGTCATACAAGTCCTGGGCAGGGTGGGCATGTCTTGCCATATGCTGTGATGTTGGCATGGCAGGGAGCCGAGGCAAAGATTAGGGTGACAGTGTGAGGGTTACTAGTGTCAGAGACACCAGTTGCTATGGCATCAGTGGGGAGAGGGCATGGAGCTACGCCCTGGGAGCATAGACACCATCCTATGTTATGCAGGTCCCAGCTGACATGGGGTAGGCTGGTAGGCAAAGAGAGCCAGTATTTGTGCTCTTGGTCTCAGGTTTGGGTACAGACACTGGCATTGTCTGGTTGGCAGAGCTGGACACAGGTCCCTGCCCCATCCTGAATGTGGCTTCACCTATAGGCTGGTGGGAAACGGGCAGCTAGAGATCGCGACGGGAGGCTGGGTAATGCCCGATGAGGCCAACTCCCACTACTTTGCACTGATTGACCAGCTCATCGAGGGACACCAGTGGCTGGAGAGAAACCTCGGTATGTCTAGGACCAACAGTGGAGGTCGCCCTGCGGCTGGGCCTGGGGTCCGGTGATAAAGGGCAGTAAGGCACAGGAGTTGACAGGAGTGGATCCTTTCTAGGCTAATGGGGGCCTCGTGTAGTGTCATCTTCCAGTCCCTGCCAAGGCAGGAGCTGGAGTTCCACTAGCTGGGCAAGGCCGAGGCCAGGCCCTGTGACTCTGAGGTCTTCAGGGTCTCTGTAACCCCATGCCCAGGTGTGACCCCGCGCTCCGGCTGGGCAGTGGACCCGTTCGGACACAGCTCCACCATGCCATACCTGCTGCGCCGTGCTAACCTGACCAGCATGCTGATTCAGAGAGTGCACTATGCCATCAAGAAGCACTTCGCGGCCACCCATAGCCTGGAGTTCATGTGGAGGCAGACATGGGGTAAGGCCAGGCAGGGCAGCAGGGTCTGAGCAGTGCAGCTTTCTCTGAGGAAGAGCAGGAGGGTCAGCAGTATGAACCCATGGTCCCTCAGGTCCCCCTGCCAGAGTGGTCTGTCCTTCAGGGGAGGGGAGGGTCACACTGACCTCTGGCCTCTGTGGGGCCCCCGTGCACCCTTCAGGACCCTGTGTTCTGTCCCCTGCTTACAAGTCACACAGCCTGGGTCCCGCTAGAATTTCGCTGTCTGTCAGAGCTGCCTTTAGATCCGTGCCCTCTGGACGTCCCTGTCCCTGGCTACCGAGGCTGCCTGCCGATGGATGACTGCATGGTGTGTCTTCTGCAGACTCAGACTCCAGCACAGACATCTTTTGCCACATGATGCCCTTCTACAGCTATGATGTCCCGCATACTTGTGGCCCTGATCCCAAGATCTGCTGCCAGTTCGATTTCAAACGGCTGCCTGGTGGTCGCATCAACTGCCCTTGGAAAGTGCCGCCCCGGGCCATCACAGAGGCCAACGTGGCAGAGAGGTAGGCATCAGCTTTCAGCCTGACCTGGGCATGGTGTTGATTTTTTGCTCTACAGAGGAACCAGGAGGCCTGGCCTCTGGTCTGAGCTGTTCAGTGCTGGGGAGCCATGCAATGCCAGCCTCAGCTGGAAAACAGAGGGCGGGCTCAGGTACGGGCTCTGCTCCTTGCAAATCTTCCTGGAAAACTGGCATGGCACTCAGGAACCACCTTTCCCAGAAAGCTCTTACTGTCCCCAGCGGGCATGTTTTTCCCATATCTTGACAGACTGTCAGAGCCAATCAACTGATCAGAGGCAAATGGCTTGTAAATGGGTACAGTTCCTTGCAAACCTCAGGCTAATAATGTGCCTTTCCCTGGCTCTGGTATTCTGACTTGGCTGGAAGTCAGCAGAATCCTGTGTGCAGGGACCACAGCCCACTGGCATCACCACTTAGTCTCCCAGACATGGCCTCCGGCCTCCCTGTCCCCTTTGAGAGAATAGTTAAGGCCCTCCAGCCATGTCTGTGTGGCAGAAATCACCCCACCCTCCCTGATAGTGCTGGTTACCCGTGAGCTAAACAGCAATTTAGGCAGAACCTTAAGAATGTAACAAGTTGAACTGGTTTTTATGTGACCTGGAGGGAAAGAAAGTGGTCTTTTGTTTCTAGAAATCTAAACACTGATTGCAAGAAGCACCGCTGGCTGTTTAAGGAGGCATGACTCCTAGAGCCCCAGCTGCCTTCTCTGAGGCTGACTTGGCTCTCAGAGAGCAGGCCAGGGGGAGGGATAGGGCTCCCTGATCCCAGAGGCCCCCCTGGGCCACGAGGCTTCCTGGGCCCTGATAGAGCAGGCATGGGTTTTCTTTGAGGAATCTCTCTTGAGAACAAAATAGAGGACAACCCAGGCCAGCACAGATGACTAGAGGAGTGCCCAAACCTTGCTATCCTTCAAAGGACACTTAATAGGTGGATCTCAGAACAGGAAAGTGGCAAGGGCTAGGGATGTAGCTTAGTGGTCGGGCACTTGTTTAGCATGTTCCATCCCCAGCACCACAAATAGTAGTAGTAGTAGTAGTAGTAGTAGTAGTAGTAGTAATATCAGGAAGGAATGTCTAATGTTGTGCTGTACTGCTCTAATTTTCTACTGCCTTTACCTATTATATGGAGAAAAAAACCCAGAGGTCTATGCATATCCTGTGTGTATGTATAGTCCTATGGTGTGCCAGGCACTACTGAAAGTACTTAAATATTAATACGTTCATTTTAATTCTTGTAACATTGTGAGGGCTAATGATACCAGTAAGGCTACTTGTGTTATCTGATATTATTCTCATTTTCCAGAAAGAAGCCCAGGAGGGTTACCTAGGGTTACTCACCTAGCATATGTGGAGCTGGTTTGGGCATAATCTGGCACCAAAGTTCTGGATTCTTCTTTTTTGGGGGGGTGAAGGTGTGGGTGGGTGAGTGCAGGACCTTTGCACTGAGCTATAGCTCCAGCCTTTTATTTTATTTTATATTTTTTTTTATTTTGAGGCAGTGTCTTGCTAAGTCACTAATTTGTATAGGCCTGGCCCAAATCTGAGGTCCTCTTGCCTTGGCCTCCCAGAATACTGGGATTACAAGAGGTGTGTACTGCACCTGGCTGATCCTGGGCTCTTTTACCCAAGGGTGGCACAACTTCACTCACTCAAGCTTCAAACCAGATGGAATTTATTAGACAGAAAGTCTCCACTCTTGACTTCAGAAGGCAGAACAGGAAGTTCAGGGTTAAATGGCTGTGCTGAGCTACACACACAGAAAGCAGGGAGCATGGCCGCAGGTGACCTCAGGCTGCTCCTGTGGGCGGTGGGGCAGGGTTTGGTCCCAGAGAGGTCTGACTGCCCTGCACACCCCTCCCTGCTTTATGCAGTTCTGAGCCTCTGATTCAGGATGCTGGCCAGAGGAATACATTGTAACTTATGCTGTAGGGGCAGGGTTTGATGGAGAGAAAGCTCAGGCATTTTTTTTTCCTTTGGTGGAACTGGGGATTGAACTTGGGCCCTTGGGCTTGCCAGGTAAGCACTTATTCTACTGAGCCATCTCCCCAGGCCCCAGGCATTTTTGATGTATGTGGAGGATAATTGTGGGAAAGGATGCAGAGGCAGGGTTGGAATCGAAGCCCAGCATAAGGAGGGATTGTTCAACAAACACTGGGTGTCAGGCACCGGTTTCCTACTCTAGGCTGTGTCCCTGACACTCGCCTGGGGTGGCTCCCTTCCCTGATCTCTCAACTCTCAAGCTTCCCATGAGGCTTGTGTCTTGTCCTTCCTCCAGGGCAGCCCTGCTCCTAGACCAGTATCGGAAGAAGTCCCGACTGTTCCGAAGTAATGTCCTGCTGGTGCCACTGGGTGATGACTTTCGGTATGACAAGCCTCAGGAGTGGGATGCCCAGTTCTTCAGCTACCAGCGGCTCTTTGACTTCCTTAACAGCAAGCCTGACCTCCACGTGCAGGTGGGAGCTCTGGCTGGCATGGTGGGGGCTCCTAGTGCTACAGACTGGGGCCTTCCCTGGAGGACCCCTGCTCCCCACAGCTGGCCCCCAGAAGAGATTTGTTACCATTCTTAGTCTCAGGATTTATTCCCAGGGTCTCGGCTTTCCTGTGAGGCACAGAAAAGTGGGACGTAGTTGCCCCCACCCCCAGCTGCTGTAGCACTGGTGGCCTGAATTCCCAGGAGGCCGTGCAACTGATGGGAGATGGTTTGGGGGTTCCCACAGGCCCAGTTTGGCACCCTCTCAGACTATTTTGATGCCCTGTACAAGAGGACTGGGGTGGAGCCAGGGGCCCGGCCCCCAGGGTTTCCAGTGCTAAGCGGGGATTTCTTCTCCTACGCGGACCGTGAGGATCACTACTGGACTGGCTATTACACCTCCCGGCCTTTTTACAAGAGCTTGGATCGAGTCCTAGAAGCCCACCTACGGTGAGATGCCCACCACAGGCTCGGGGGAGTCAGCCTTTGTGTTGCAGGCCAGCTGGGCCTGCAGGAGACAAGGTGGCAGAGGAGTGACAGGAAGGGGAAGAGGAATGGCCTTTGTGAGGGGCAGGTGGCAGGCAGTGGCCCTCTCTCTGCAGGGGGGCAGAGATCCTGTACAGCTTGGCTCTGGCACACACCCGCCGCTCTGGCCTGGCTGCCCAGTACCCATTGTCCGACTTCACTGTCCTGATGGAGGCCCGGCGCACTCTGGGGCTCTTCCAGCACCATGACGCCATCACGGGCACTGCCAAGGAGGCTGTGGTGGTGGACTACGGGGTCAGGTGGGTGCCGCCTCCTCCCTCCACAGCATTTCCCGCACCTATGGCTGCAGAGGCTGTTCAGTGGGCCGCTGTGGCGGGCCAGGCCCTGTGATCATCTCCTGGCCCCTGTGCTGTTCACACAGGCTTCTGCGTTCGCTCGTCAGCCTGAAGCAGGTCATCATCAATGCAGCCCACTACCTGGTGCTGGGGGACAAGGGGACCTACCATTTTGAGCCCGGGGCACCCTTCCTCCAAGTGGTGAGCCCCACTGGGTCTGCTTGGGGTCCTCTCTTGCTCTGGCCAGATGGGGAGAAGGCCTGCTGCCTGACGCCCCTTCCCTCTGCCCGCTTTGTTCCAGGATGATGCCCGCTCTAGTCATGACGCCCTGCCAGAGCGTACAGTGATCCAGCTGGATGCCTCGCCCAGGTGAGTTGCACTAGGCCAGGTGCCCCGGGGTTCCCAGCCCCCTCCACACTCTGCACATGTCCTCCACTGCAGGTCCCACAGGCCCCACCCTGTCACCTTCCAACCCCAGGTTTGTGGTGCTCTTCAACCCACTGGAGCAGGAGCGGCTTAGTGTGGTGTCCCTGCTAGTCAATTCACCGCATGTGCGGGTCCTGTCGGAGGATGGCCAGCCCCTGCCCGTGCAGATCAGCGCCCACTGGAGCTCAGCTACCAACATGGTCCCCAATGTCTACCAGGTGAGGCAGGGCTCTGTCTGCAGTGGCCTCCCCTCAGTGCCCCATCACTCACCTCCTATCTCACTGCTTTGGCCCATCCTACTGTCCAGTTTGGCATTGAGTGTCTTTGGAACAGAGGCTGCTCAGAGGACACTCTTGGGCATTGAGTCCTTTAAAAGGTAGATAAGGGCTGGGAATATAGCTCAGCAGCACAAGCGCCTGCCTGGCAAGTGCAGGCTCCCAAGTTCGAGTCCCAATACCAACAATAAATAATAGTGAAAGTGCCAGTTACAATACCCCATGGTTTACTCATTCAACAAGTATTTATTTACTGATTTGTTTGAGACAGGGTCAGTCTTGTTTGTTGCCCAGGCTGGCTGCAGACTCCTGGGCTCGGGTGGTTTTCCTTCCTCAGTCTCCCAGAAGGCTGGCACTGCAGGGGCGTGCTACCACACAGCGTATGCTTACTGGAAGCCTAATGTGGCTTGGTAGGGTTTGTTTTGTTTTTGTTCAGTACAGGAGATTAAACCCATGGCCTTGGGCTGAACTATAGCTCCCGACCCTTCTTAATTTTGAGACAGGGGCCTTGCCTGGGCAGGGCTCATGTCCAGTCCTCCTGCCTCAGCCTTGCAGATGCTGGGTTTACAGGTGTGGGTCACCCTGCCTGACACTAGTTTATAGTTTTTCAAATGTCATTTGAGAAACTGAGAAAGCCTGACCAATAAGAAGGGGTGCTCCAGAGAAGAGAACAGAGGCTCTGGTAGGTGCACGACTTGCTTGGGCTCTCTGTTAGGAAACAGAAGCCGAAGGCTGGGACTCCCAGAACCTCAGCCCAGCCTGCGTTCTCACCCCCATGCCTGCAGGTGTCCCTGCCTATCCGCCTGCCTGCCCTGGGCCTGGGTTTGCTTCAGCTACAGCAGGGCCTGGACACGCACCGCACACTGTCCTCCTCTGTGCGCATCTACCTGCACGGCCAGAGTCTGTCAGTCAGCCGGCACGAAGCCTTCCCCATCCGGGTCATCGACTCAGGTGGCAGTGACTTCGCCCTCAGCAACCGCTACATGCAGGTCTGGTTCTCAGGCCTTACCGGGCTGCTCAAGGTAAGGGGCCAGGGCTGCTGTGTAGGGTCTGGAGTGGAGGAGGATGCATGTGCTGGTGTGGCCATGCCTGCTCCACCTTGAGTGATGGATGGCAACCCGGGCGTAGGCTGTCTCAATGCCCAGCCAGCCATCTTGGAAAGCTGGGTGTGTTGGCTGTTACTGTGATAGACATGTGAGATCAGTGACATAAAGAGCTCAGGTTCATGTTTGCCACAATGTTAGGAGTTCTGGCCCCTGGCCCAGTGGACCTGCCTACGGGAGCAGCACATGGTGGTGGAAGCGGTGGCAGAGCACAGCGCAGGCAGGACACAGGAGACAGGGGAGGGGCACTCCAGTGTCCCCAAACCTCCTCTGGGCCCTGCCTGTTAATTTCCACTCCTCCTTGCAGCACCCCCAGGCAGCAAGCCGTTCACACAGGGCCTCTGGGAAGCCTTAGACTCAGGCTGTAGCCCCGGGCCGGGCCTGACGTGTTGGCATGGGGCCAAGGGTCAGGCTGTGGTTTTTGACAGAGCATCCAAAGAGTGGACGAGGACAGGGAACAGCGGACAGACGTGGAGCTCCTCGTCTATGGTACCCGCGCGTCCAAGGACAAGAGCGGCGCCTACCTCTTCCTGCCTGATGACCAGGCCAAGGTACGTGGCGGGCTCTGGGAAGTATCCTTGACAGTTCTGTGCAGAGGGGCACAGTGCTTCCAGGGTGGTCGCTCCCTCCTGAGGTCTTACCTGCTGCCTTGGAAGGGAGGAAGGTGGGTGGGGCAGCAGTCACAGTGGGGCCCAGGGTGTGGGGCCATCTCATGGGCGAGCATATCTTCTGACTGACCTGGGGCTGCTAACGGCTTGGCTGGCTGTGCCTTGGGCTCAGTGGCTGCCTCCTCTTTCCCCAGCCCTATGTCCCCAAGAACCCGCCTGTGCTGCGTGTCACTGAAGGCCCTTTCTTCTCAGAGGTGGTCGCTTACTATGAGCATGTTCACCAGGTGGTCCGACTGTACAACCTGCCAGGTGAGGAAGGGTTGCAGAGGAAGTGTGGGCCCCATGGGCTGTGACACATACCCTTGCTTCCCATCTGTGTTCACACATCTGTTCCCAACAGATGGAGCTTTTGAATCAGGGATGCTTAGTGTCTTGGGACAAGGTCATCAGAGATGCTGTCCCTGAGACTTGCTGGGAAGTTGGGCAGCATGTCCCCAGGGTGGTTCAAAAGCTGTGCTGCTCTGCCCTTCTCCCCATGTCTCCCCTGTGTGCCTGTGCCCAGGGGTGGAGGGGCTGTCTCTGGACATGTCATTCCTGGTGGACATCCGGGACTACATCAACAAGGAGCTGGCCCTGCGCATCCACACGAACATTGGCAGCCAAGGCACCTTCTTCTCAGACCTCAATGGCTTTCAGGTAATGTCTGAACTCCCTGGGGCAGAATGGGGACTCTCTTGGTGGCCCTGACAAATGAGGCGAGTGTGATCAGGGATCCTGAGGGCCCAGGCAGTCTCCAGAGGCCCTTGACTCACTGGGCCTGCCCACAGGTGCAACGCCGGCAGTATCTGAAGAAGCTGCCCCTGCAGGCCAACTTCTACCCCATGCCGGTCATGGCCTACATCCAGGATGCTCAGAGGCGCCTCACACTGCACACGGCCCAGGCCTTGGGCGTCTCCAGCCTCAGCGATGGTGGGTAGGGAGCAGGAGGCCTGAGGGGGTCTGAGAGGAGAAGCAGCTACCCACCATCGGGGCCTGCCCCTGCCACGACCTCCCTTCTTCACTTCTTCCCTGTTGTCACCTCCCCATTGGAGAAAAGATGGGGGCACATCCACAGCTGCTGCTATTCTCCTTAGAGACCCAGTCACCGTCTCTGCTGATACAGGCAGTGGGTGGGGTGGGGTCCCTTGGGAGGCACCAGGTACTGAACGGCAACTCTTAGCTGAGAGGTGTGACCTTGCTCCTGGCAGAAGTGCCTATAGGAACAGTTTGAAAGCATATCCAATATTTTATGAAATAGTTAGGAAAAGCAAAAGAGAGGATGATTTTTCTTTTAATCCCCCCACCCCCCCAGTACTAGAGATTGAACCTAGGGCCTTTCAGATTTTATTTTGAGATATCATTGCTCTAAGTTCCCAAATATCCTGGGTGAACTTGAACTTGTGACCCAGGGTGATGGAGTTAAGTTGCTGCTGCTGCTGCTGCTGCTGGTGATGGTGGTGATGGTTCTTTCCTCTTCTTCTTCCTCCTCCTCCTCCTCCTCTTCCTCCTCTTCCTTCTCCTCTTCCTCCTCCTCCTCTTCTTCCTCTTCCTCCTCCTCCTCCTGCTCCTCCTCCTCCTCCTCCTGCTGCTGCTTCTCCTCCTCCTCCTCCT